ACTCCCTACCCCACCCCCGACAAAAGCAAAGATATAAACAAAATAACACTATATCGCAACTGCCCTAGAAAAAAGAAAAACCCCAACAAAACAAAACACAAAAATACACACACACATAGATGAACTTACGTCTATATAATTAGCATTGATGTAGTCGTCGTGTTCGTCATCGTCCTCAGGGTCAAGGACAACCCTTGAATGATCGTCTGGAAAAGAAGTTCAAACGAACAATGCTCTTCAATAATGCGTTTACCCTCTCTGAAACCACAGTAAAGCCGCACTCTAACAAACAGTATCCAGTTCATCTAGCCTACACGACTTTGGGAAATTGTTCGAACTCTAAGAGATAAAAATGGAAGCAGCATGTGTAAGATTTCTTACGAAACAAATACACATAATAAAACGTGCAAAAAGAAGCTGTGAGGGACGAAATAAGAAACTGGTGCAGACATAAAACAAAGCAAAGATTTAAAGGTTTCTACGGGAAATGTTTTTCTCTCTATTATTATGTTAACTTTCTTTTATCCGTAAAGCCTCATTTAATGGAAAGAGTAAGGTTAAAAACAAGTTTGCTTTGAAATGTTCTTCACAGTTTTACTGCTTCATGAAGTAGGTCTAAAAAACTTTTAGTTCCAAGTAATCATTTTTCAAGGCTACTGAAACCAATACTTAGTAAATAATAATTTTAAAAAACCTAATAAGAACACCCTCTCACTGTAATAAAAGAAAATTAAAACATCCCAACCGTTCTCCCCCCCCCCTTCTCTCTCTACTCTCTCTCTCTCTCTCTCTCTCTCTCTCTCTCTCTCTCTCTCTCTCTCTCTCTCTCATAAATATAATATTATACAATATACTATGTATGTATGTATTATCCTTCTATTTCTTTCCTCATGCCCCTTTTCTTTCTCTTACTAATTTCTCGTCTATTATAGTGAGGAAACTTGTCCTAATTACACACAACAGAAACACTTACAAGCTATGATGTTGCCATATCTGTTTTTCAACTTGTTCTCGTTCTTCCTCGCCACCTCACAGGTAGCAGTGATTCCCGCGGGCAACAGCTGAAAGATATTGTTGGAAATGAATTATGTACGGTCTACTTCAAACCTCCAATATGGGTGGTTGGCGGGTGCTCTGGTGGGGTTTGTTCCTTCATTCCTATCAAACATCTCGTTACTCTAGAAATACAAAGCTGTATATATGCTCAGTATCAAAGATCGTACACAACGTTATACACGATCTTTGTCAGTACCTAGTTTTGAGAAATTTGACCTTTAAAAGGTTTTGAGTTTCACAACATGTCAAGCTTTTTCGGATGCGATTCTTTGAATATGTTAATAACGACTCCAAATAAGCTAGAGCATTTGGTTTTGGCCTCTTGGATTTTGTACCTCAAAACGGCCAAAAATGTCAGATAGAACTTCATAATTCTAAGCTAGCGATCTATCGTCCTTAGAACGCCTCCTTTTTGTGTTTGCCACTCCCTTGTAAGACCTCTAATCTTCGGCACTTAAAAAAAGACAAGTGCTGTAAAACTCTTACTAAAACATACAGACCGTCCATTCAGAATCTACTAAGCTTACTACACACACCCGAAGTTCCCTCTCGTTGTGAGACCAACATGGGCGCAGCCGAGACGAGATGAATACATGACAATCTTAGCGTAATTTTTAGAAAGGAGGGTTGAAGTATTTTTATATTGATCCATAAAAGAAAAATCCACATATCAATTTCCCAAATCATAAGATCATTCGACATTATCCTGAACCTTTCCATCTCGTCACTTCATTTCAAAAGCCAGCTATGAAAAACATGTTAAAACACTGGCCTTGTAATCAATTTAGGCCTTAGGCTCGTTTTCAGTAAATAATTCAAGCGTGTTTTTCAGAGCTTTCAGGTGCCCAAGGCCGGGGTTGGGGGGTTTGGGGAGGGGGGGGG